ATTTAGGGCTTGATGAGTTTTCATGTCTCTTTTGGTGTTATAATATGAACAACCACCTCATCTTCCCTTGTTCGTCATTAAATTGGAATTCCGGATTGAGTACTCAAATTGTTCCTATGAGAGGATTGTGAGTACTTAGGCTAATCAGAGGGTTATATTTTAGGTGAGCGAATAGTATCCAGATTATCATCTATTCGGATGAGACAAACTACCAACTATAATTAATAAACTTATGAAATATTCATGTACAAAATTTAGAATTTTGTAATAAAAATTCTACATAATATACCTAGGCAAGTTTTCAGATTTATTATGACAACTTTTGATTAGATGAATCAATTGTAAAGAAAAAAAAACAACCGAATGAACTTTAGATGTGATGTGTTTTGAATAACATCGACGCTTCGAGTAAAAGGGCTCTAGTTTGCTAGTGTTAGTGAAGCAGCTGGAAAGGAGTGTGAAACAAACGGTAGCAAATCTTAAACATTTGAACCTAAAGAGAATATTTTTCAATCTTGTTGGCTGTTTAATTGAATTTGAAGAATACTTTGACATGATTAGGATCAAGTTTACTATTATGCAATTGCCAAAGCAAAAAGTAATACATTTAATATATCAATTTTGGCTAAATAAATCATAAAGTGATGAAAACTGTCATTACATCAAAAGTGGCTGTTTATCACACAGGTAATTGAAGTAAAAAGATACTATCGTGCATTACTGAAAGTTCTCCATGAAAACGTATACAATATGATCCATATTAATTAGTTGTTTTGTATTACTATGGAAATACATCTTCTAATGCCAGATAATAAACATCAATCCCAAATTGGTTTCAAACACACAAATCTTCCAAACTTGCGTTTGAACTAAATAAATATTGATACCATTTTCTGAATAAAATTATGCTTACTTCACCGGGAGGTTACTGTAGTAAAGTAAATAGTTCGGCCTCACTTCGTACAACCCGTCCTTGAAATAAAATGGCCACAGATCACCTCTCCGATCATGACAGAATTCGGAACGCCACTGAAGCGAATCACATTTTCAACATTATGCAAGCCGGAACCTCGTAATTCAATTTCTATGCAATTCGGTAGAAGCAAGTTTCGCGGAGAAATGATGCTCTTCAAGACATTTCCAGATTCTTCGATCGTTGTCAACGAGATTCTTCCCGGATAATGTGCAGATTCCAATCAGATTGAGCGAGCGTTGCAGACCACAACACCGTCGCCTCAGATTGCACGGTGTTCTGACAGTGAAATCGGCAGGAAACGGTGAGGTAGACCGTGTCGGTCTGTCCGTGGCTGTCTGCTGAGGTCATGTGCCTGACGTGATTGTCGCCTGATCATCGACCGATTGGTGGCAAGTAGCCACGTCCATGACAGTAGTCACACTCTGAAGGAGCTCTGACGTGGATGCATACGAATCCACTACAGTCGACTATGCAGTCTACATCTGGGTAGTGACGTGGCCTCATTCTGAGATGGCACGTCTCGCAGTCTTTGTGGGTTCTTATGTTTGAGGCTGGAACTCATTTCATCGACATGGAAAGGACAGAAATCCATTCAGCAAGTCCGATTTAACGAAATTCTTACTTCCATAACCGACGCAAATGTTGAATAGCTGTCAACGGGGAATGCATTGTATGACAGCGTGCAAGTTTCCATGTGTTATTGAAACGAAAACAATACTCTATATCAAATTTTCATATTCCTCGCAATTATATACTGCACATTGCATGGCTTCCGAAATGAAGTCTCATGTTCTTGTTTGAATTGAATTTTTCACAATTTTATTGAATTTCTTTATTATTTTTAAATATGTTTTATCTTCTTCATATTTATTTTAACACTATGTACCTGAATGTTTGTTTCATTCATGTCATAATTTCTATTTTTCTAAACACAGTAGTTTTCCATTCCAAATATTTTATTTTTTAGTTATAGAGTTTTTTAGTTATATGATATTTGGATATATATAAAATAAGATTAAAAAAATAGATTGACCTTTAGATTAACCTCTCAACAAGAAATACAGATTTTACACTAAAAATTTATTTATCAAATGTATAATATGGATTTTTTTTACATGATGTGAAAAAAATCAAGATTATGGAATTCTTACATAAGATGTTATCATGTGAAAATAAAATTATTCAGAAAAAACATTTTCATAATTATGTTAAGAAGTATGTCTAAATTTAAGTATTGAATTGAAAATTTATTCAATAAACATGAATTGGAAGATAATTCATAAATATATTCAAAATAAATCCGAATTTTTTTATATGTTATTTAGTACGCTAGATATGTCATACAGCTATTTTTAAGTGTAATTCGTTACTTTAGATGTCATATGACAATCATTAAATGAAAAAATTATGAGATGTATTTTAAATTTTTTTTGAAAAACGGACACAATGAAGAAACGTATAATATTATATTTGACATTCAAAACCAAATGCATTAACAAATATGTTGATGTTAATCAAATTATTTTTTTAATGATCAATTTTCTATACTTTTTAGAATTATAATTGAGTTTTAACTACATTTGGCTAGATGGAATTCTTTCTCATTGATATCACAATGAGAAATATTTCATACATTCACTCAATTGTCTGAATAATGTGAATCAAATGATTACAAGAACATGAACATTAAAAAAAATATTAAGTACTCTTTTATGCATTGCTCCAATGAGAAAAAAAATAAATGTAGCATATTACATGTTATAATTGAAGCTGAGAAAATTTACTTCCAATTTCATGTGGTATGGTAGATTTTTGTGCACTTTCTCACATAGAAGTGGTGTTTGCAACTTTATAGAAGTTCAAAGCCAAAGTAACAAAGATGTAAACTCCTAATTTACATTTATAGTTGAGAAAAGTTGATGGTAGAAGCTTCGTTTGCTGTACCTTAAGAAGGATGGATTACACGACAAGGACAATGTCACCATTACTCTTAGATTTCAAAATATTTTGCTTTAGTAAGCTGAAACTCTTGAACTAGGAATAGATTAGTTCAATAGGGGTCGAAAGTATCATAAAACAACCTTTTTTCATGCAAGTTTTCACCTTCGGTGCAACACCAAACATCATCATACATATTCTCTGTCCTACTTTGAATAGACAAAGAGTTGTATGAATATATGCTACATCACATATACAAATTTTGCAGGTGGTTAATGAATTGTGGATAGATGAACTCTTGATGTGACAAAGTATGTGTTTGAGAGTAAAAATTTTTAATGCATCGTCTAACCAAGATTCACAAGACTGCACACCTGCCGGAGCAAGAGTAAAGAGGTGCTGTCGTAATGCGAGAATTGACCATGTCCAGAAAGAGACTTCAAAAAATTTTAGTGTGTCAAAGTAGTTACTTTAACTCTAATGAAATTAAAGTAGATACTCTAACTCTGATTTCAAATAAGAAGAGCAAGGGAGGTTATGTTCTCCTTCCGGGCTTCAAGCATCGTATTTCATACTCGGACATGTATAGAAATGCCACCAATCATGTTTCTCAAAATAGTCTCAAAAGTGAATCTAGGTGCAATTCTATATGTATGAGGTTTTTTAAGAAAATGGCAAATCAGTGCTATAATTTTGATTTTTTACATAAATAAGATCATAAAGGGAAATAGAGAGGTATTTTTTAATATGTCCAAAGTTCCCATATGTGCATATTATTGAGAAATTTGATTGATGGGACCCAATACATTCCATTTTACCCTATGAACCCCTCCGGGGTCATAGGGTAAAATGGTTAGTGCGTCAGTTATGTTCTTGTAACTGATTTGTTTCCACTTCAATGGAATTTTTTTTTCCCTAATTTAAATTAGTCAGATCTTCCATGGCTCCCAGTCTTCATCGTGGGAGAACCCAATTTCTCACTTCCCATAAAATTTTACAATTATAATGTATAGGCATAATCTATTCTCTCCTTACTTTTTTTTTCTAAAACTTTTTGTCAAAATCATGTCAGTTGCGTATTTTGGTTCGTGAAATGCATTTCACTTTTCAACAAAGAGACTCAGTGCTTTTACTAACCCGGATTGAAAGGAATTACAAGAAAGGGTCGTCGGAAGGTTCCATCGCGTAAAATGGAACTTCAAAGGTTCCATCAAACAGTCAACGTTCTGATGGTCCCATCAAACAAATTTCTCTAATATTATTTGATCTTGAAATTTTAAATACATTTTAGAACGTTGGACATGAATATCATATGATCTCTTATTAGTACATTCAAAATTCAAATAAATTGGAAACTTCGGACCACTTGATGTATTCTACGAACTACTACATCATGAGAATGTGATTTTAGCTCATAATGTTTCAAATTTAATGTTATCAGGTCACCTTCTCGACAACGGAAGATGTCTGAAAGGTGAGAGCTCAGTGGGATGAGCACATCGTTCTGCGCCATCCAGTTAGCAGAACGTCGACCATTCTCGAGCAACATGGCCAACGCGACGAGAGTAATGAATCGCATCGAAGCCGTCGCAATCGCAATTGCATTAAATTCCGACACCTCTTCTTGAGTCGAGTGGAAGGTTTGCTAATCCGAGTAAGATGACGGTAACCCGAGTCACGAGCCCGAGATAGGAAATCGGGGGATCGAGGAGCGTCCACGTGTCGACACCACGACACAGCTGTCAGCGCGGTCCAGTCACCACTCCTCATCCGCAAGGTGCTTCCTGCGGCAGCTAGCCCCTCCTCCTATCGGCTATGGCGGCGCTGTGGAGCGAAAGCTTCGTCCCTGTCCTCTGTCCGTCTGTCGGTCTTCGAGCTCGGTCCGGTCCGCCGCGTGCGATCGGAGCGACCGGCGAAAAAATCCATCGGTTCCCTCCTTTGTCCGTCTGTTCTACAGCACAAGCGTGTCTCCAGAAGCGAATTGGAGGATTTGACACGGAGGCGAGCGAGGTAGGGGAACCAAGGGCAGCCGAGTGGGATCTGGCACGGTTGGGGACGAGGCGGATCAGATCGACGGGATTGCGGTGCGACGGTGCCCCGGAGGCCCGGGGGATTAATTGCGACGTTGGGTGCGCATCTGGCACTTGCGAGGACAGGGACGAAGAAGCTTTATCGTCCGAGCGGCAGAAGGGTCTGGTCTTCTCGCCTTCCTCTCTCTCTCTCTCGCGCACGACACGGAGACTCGCGGTGCCTTCGAGGTGACGACGAGGCGAGGCGAGGCGAGGCGAGGGGGCTCTTTCCTTCCTACGACGCGTGCTGGTGATTGTTATTTAGACTCTTCGGCCTCGTGCTGCTGCCGATTCGTACCACCTGTAGAGGAACGGGGATTGCTGTTTTCCTCTCTCTAGTCTCTGAGTTGTGAATCTGCACCGACGACGAGGGAAAGAAGGCTGGAATCGGTCGCTGGTAGCGGAGGAGAAACTTGTAGTCGTTGACTTCGTTTTTTTGAGGAAGATTTATTGACAGTGAGTTTTCACGAGATGGCTGGGGTGGCACTTGGAGCGTGCGCAAGCCCGAGGGTGGCTTCGATCGGATCGAGCCACAAATCAGTAGTTGCCGATGCCGGAGTATCCCCGGCCTCCGTCTTGGTCTCTCCTAGGTCTTCCAAGCGCCAATACCGCAAGGTATGTTGACCTAATAATCCTCTCCTCCTACGTTAACTTTCGGGCAAGAAGAGGAATTTCTCTCGTCAGCCCGATTGCCCATCCGTGCCCCAGTCTCCGAAGTTTCCTGTTGTGTATCCACGTCCTCAATCTGTTCCCGTTGTTTCTATCACAATGTTTGTCGCGCTGCCTGTGAAAGTTACAACCTGGGCGACGAGAGCTCGAAGTGTAACGATTGACTGTTTCGATCCTGGCTCAGCAGATTTCCGCCGTGGTGCTGCCGAAGTCAATGAATGGCCTGCGTCTCGCTTTCAGTCCTCTGGCCTCACCGGTACTGAGGCGGTCTCCTCGAGCTGTTGGAATTAGGGCAGAGGCATCCTCTGGAGGGCAGAGCTATGATGTTGCCCCACTCGAGCCGGAGTCTCCAACTGGTCAATTCCTTGTCTCAGTTCTGAAAAGCCACCCGCATCTGTTTCTCTCGGCTGCCGAGCAGCAATTGGGTGACATGGCGAAGGCTCGAGAGGCAGATGAAGCTAGTCCGTCCGGCACTGACTTAGTTCTTTACAAGTGAGTACCTCTATGACTTCGTTGAATATGCGTGCGTGAAAGTTTGTTGTGTGACAATCCCACTCTACTCGCGGTCCTCATCTATGGCAATACATTGCGTACATGCGGCCCGTAAGATTATTTGCCCCTTAGGGGATGAGTATGTGGATCCGAAATGCCATGTTCTTGTTCCTCATGCATGTCTAACACGCCATGTCACCTTGCAGGAGGATAGCTGACCTGAAAGCAGAGGAACGACGAAAGGCCGTGGAGGAAATTATATATGCTTTGATTGTGCACAAGTTCGTCGAGGCCGACGTGAATCTGGTTCGGACTTTACCATCCGTCTCTGACACTGATACCAGACAGGTGGAGATTTCGCCTGCACAGGAGAAGCAGCTAGAGATTGTCCATTCAGCAGAGGCGTTGGAGATGGTGAGGGAGCATCTGGCCGTAGTTTTAGGAGGAAGGGGAACATCCACTTTCCTGGATCAACACACGATTGCGCACATTAGCAAGTTGCGAGTCGGCCAGGTTTACGCTGCATCGATCATGTACGGTTACTTCTTGCGGAGAGTGGACCAAAAGTTTCAGCTCGAGAAGACGATTAAGGCCTTGAATCGGGGAATGGGTGAACTTCTTGAAGCCGACACGTTTCAAATATCGGACGACGACAGAGTCGACGAGACTGCTGCCGGTAGGGACCCTCTTGCAGCTGAGGCCGCTGCTGCCATTGCCAACTTGAACGCGTCTGATGCAGCGAGGCAAGGGTTTGGACCAAACATTCTCCCTGGAGGCATGAAGCCGAGTAAATTAAGGTCATATGTGATGTCTTTTGACCCTGACACGCTGCACCGATGTGCAACTATGAGGGCGAAGGAGAGTTTGAACGTGATCGAGAAGCACGCTGAAGCTCTGTTTGGAAAGCCGGAAATTCGAGTTGCTCCTGATGGTTCCTTCACCGTGGTTTCTGATGATACAATCAGAGTTAGTTTTTCTGGTCTCAGAAGGCTAGTGCTGGAGGCCGTTGCTTTCGGTAGTTTCCTCTGGGACGCCGAGAGTTATGTGGACTCTCAATACAACATCATTGCTCGCCAATAGTGTGTAAGTGTTGTTATAGCCCATCATGCGGTCAAATTAAAATGTACCACTAGCCTATACTTAGATCAATTGTCAGCCATTGTAGTAAGTTCATCGGCAATCTTCGAGATTGTTCAGGGCAAGCAAAAAGTCTTGTCTTCCAACGCATTTAGTTGAACGGGAACTCAAACCTTTGTCCATATTTGCACCGGTCCCGTATCCATGAGGATGCTGTAAATCGTTATAAGTCCGTAGCTTACTCAAGGTAGTCACGAAGCTATCATTGGCAAAGTCTTCTTCTCTGAAATTGCAGAGAATGTAAACATCAAGTTACAGTTTTTATTTTTGGTGTTTTAAACAAACACGCCAGCATTGTGGTTCGTGAACTGTCTATGTCGATGTGAAAGTGAAGTGGCAAATTTTGTCTATGGCCCGTTTCTCTAGAAATGAAATTGTGTTCTCCTTTCATTTTGCTTTTCCAATTTTTCAATCACTAGGAAGAAAATGAAAGTGAAAAGGAAGATTTTGCTGAAGAATATATTATAGTTTGTGCATTGCATGTGCTTGAAGGGTAAATTGGTGGATATGTGGGATAATTGCGGTCGGAATTACTCTGGTACTGTATGTGAAATTCTCGATGCTGCTATGAATTACCAACTTTCACAATGCCATCACCTGATAAAGGTGAGGATATGGAAACATCTTCACATCTTCGCACGCCTTTGCTAACAGTGGAATTGGTCTTTTCGCCTGTTTGTAAAACGTGGTTCACTACAGTATCTACGACTTGGTATTCTGCCAATTCCCTTTGATTTGCATCTGCTACTTAATTCGCATAGAACGATCAATCATCGACTAGAGTAAAATGATTCGTATGTCATTCTCAAGTATTACAATGTGATCTTTGAAAGTTTTCAATCTCAAATGTGTATTGCTGGCGGACAAATGACCATGCGCGGGCGGTATCGTAGTAGAAGGAAAGAACTTTATCTTTGCAAATAACATCTGTCTATCATACGCACTGTACATCGTCTTTAACCAGTGAACAAGTAACTGGAAATGTATATATCTGAATTATACGCATTGCGGTATGTATCGTTCATTATTGTGTATATGCCAACTCAAATGTAATCTTTAACACTTAATCCTCGAGAGACTCGCCTGAAGCAACGATATTGTCCTTTTGCTCGACAGTGGGCAAAGTCACAAACATGGACGAATTTGGAAATAACGTCAGTTTCGCTTAAACTCACCATGCTGTTAGACTTCTGTCGATTCGTCCGTGCCTACCCGTCACTTTGGTCAGTTTGTGGACTTTGCCAAAACTCTTCCTCCACTTGCACAAGTAGATGACTTGACGAAAAAACGTGAATTCACGCCGGGAAGTCTCGAAGAGAATAATTGAATACAACCCATGTGACTACCCACGAGCACGGCTTCGATTCTGGTTCGAGCATGCAGGCTTTTACACGCAGCACAATTTCCACTGCACATCTGCCTGACTTATACGCGCACACCGGACAAATATGAGAGCTGGGAGGTATCAGTCTTGCTGAGCTATTTACTTGAGGTGACCCCATCGGAACCTAAACTTTAAGTTTCATTTTACACTATGAGACCCCACCGTCGGTACACACGCATGTTCTAGTATCAACAAAAAAGGGTTAGACAGTGGAATTGTGAAAGTGAGACTCGTCGTTCATCATTGAATCGCTGAAATCTCCACTCACTGCAATCGGACCCGAACCCTTCTTCGTCCAAGACTTCCCCATTGAACCAAAATTTGTAAAATTATCGATTCACAAGTACTCCGATTACTCCAAATTTCCTCCAGAGATTCCACACGTCCGTTGTTGCTCACCAAGTCTAATTTCACACAACTCAACTCAAAACCTCTGTGCACTTGTGACAAAGTTAATCGGATTGCAGAGTTCCACTAAAGCTCGCATATTATACTAACTTTAGTGTACAGAAACCTGTTTCAGAAGTTCTTGACGGTATTCCGGCGGTGGGGTCCATAGGATAAAACGAACCGGATGTTCCCATCGAGTAAATACCTCAGTCTTGCTGGATCAAGGGTCTAAAACTCGCAGGATGAGACCTGTGAGAAAGGACGGAGGAGGTATATTTTGTGCCATACCGCAAGCCGAAGAAATAAGAACAGGTCAAATAAAGAAGCAGACGCGTGCAGCACAAAAGCAGCGGCCGAAGTCGTATGCGACTAAAATGGCAGCACGTAGTTATGGCGCATAAGAGTGCGCAACTGTGGAGTCTGGAGAAATGTGGTTGGAAGGAAATTTCGATTCCAGCGGGAAGACAGGATGTAGTTGGACTTCGGTGGATTCGTTTCCGATGGCGCTGTGCTAACGTGGTGAGAAGACTGGAGCAAGCCGGGTGAGCGAAGTGTGTGCCAGGTGAGTGATTTTGGGAGGCTGTTTGTCACAAGGTAGTCGAGGAAAGTACAGAATTGGGATTGCTTCGTTAACTCCCCAACGATCGTGATCCTCTCCCATAAAAGTTCTCTGCATTGAAATTGAAACTCTTTCATTCATGTGGTCGGGCTGCCTAATAATCATATTGTTGCTCGCAAATCTTACAGTGTAGTTTGCCAGAGTTCAGTTTAGAAGAAGATGATTGAAGCAGAAACCGACGTTCGATGTTATTTCTGTGAATCCCATGTGATAATGAAGTAAGGCCTCCTGCGTCTGTCTTCTGTTCGTGTCACACATTAATGGAGGTCAGGCGAGGATCAGGACGAAGGGTGGAGAGAGATCCCCCAAGTTATAGAAACAGAAGCTTGGAAAACTCCATTTCATATTCAACACAGTTGTTGGGGATCTCAGCGAAAGTTACTGATAGTACTCTTTACAGAGCTTTCAGAGAGCGACCCAAAAAGGCCAAATGAAAAAGCAGTCAAAAAGTTGTAAAGTTTATGGAAGAATCTGAGAAGAGGCGGCGCTCATCATTGGCAAGAATTATCCTCTTACTTCAGTTGCTTCCCCACCTTACAAGATGGATATAAAGATTCACTAATTTATGCACTTAGAAATGCAATTTTTTCGTGATTGAGATTTGGAGTCAAAAACCGTATTCATAGGGTCTGAATTAACGGTCGGAGCATACCAAAAAAAATCAACGAAACCCGTGGTTTTATTGTATTAAGCACTAGCTTCCTGAAACAATGAAAATAACGTTAGATGAAGTAACCTGCGGAGAAGAATAAAGAAATAGTTATGACCATAATCTACACCGGTAGACTCTCATATTTTCTTACAAATATGTTGGATTTTTAGAACTGAAGTCCAAAACCTTATAGACTATAGTCCAAAACCTTATGGCATATTCTCGTTTTTACCTGTATTATTAGAGAGTTGACCTTTATAATACCCCAATAATCAGGGAGCTCGGTTGTTACCTATGCACTTGTATACCTGCCCTTTCAAGTTCATGTCTAATTAGCAACTCCGAGACTATGTCAATATATGGTTGGTAACAATAAACCAGTCTCACTAACCAGTTATAAAAATTTCTTACTAAATTTTTTATGTAGATAAATCTGAAAGGAAGAATTTTAGCAGTATTTTTTTTTTAAAAAAATCTTCATGAAATTATAAGTTAAAGAGCATTTTCATATGCATATAATTTTGGCAGTAACGATGCATTTAATATTGGTGATGGGTTTCTGGTTAGGGTTACCTCGGTGCTTCAGAAGTACATTGCAAAAGTTAGTTTCCAAGTGTCTACGCTAAAAGTTGAGACTAAAGGTGTATATGAAGCTTTTAACCCAAAGTCTTCAGTTATCAATAGCACATTAGTGAGTGAGCATTTCTTGAGTTTTTTATTACAAAAATAAGGCTATGAAGTGGTAGGTGAGTAACCATTTCAAGTGAAATCAAGTTGGTCTAAATAAAATTTGTGCGGAATGCTAGCCAGAGGGTTCTGTTGCTGATTTTTCACTTGAGTGGAGAGTAAAAGTTTTTTTCACAATGGCAGGTTGTAATTCTTCCAATTTAGCTATTGATGTAGAATCATCACATGGGAATGATACTTACAGGAGTGATACTTATGGATCAATCTCTTCAAATGATAGTCAAAACAACCTATTGCACTTTATACAAAGCTCAGTCCATACACCAGTATAACTGAAGTGAAGCAAAGGTCACATCCCTCACGGAATCTTAAGCAGCCACATTCAGGTTTAAAACGAAGATCCAAATGGTGGAACTAACACTGGTGAAATCCTATTGGTCAAAGAAAAGTAAATGGTTGAGATCATGGATGCAGTTGAATCTATGTTTTGAACATGTTTAAAGAACTGGAATTCTCAGCATGTTCATCTCACAGTGGTCATCCATTCCTGCTTCCAGACTTGGGTCATTCTGGGACCAAAGTCTAGAAGAGAATGGAAGAGAACGTGATGAAGATCGACTAGCGCTTGTATGAACCATATGCTTTTTGGCGAAATCCTCCACAAGCACGAACTGACGAGCCGGGAAGTCGAAGCTTGTATGGTGCAAGACAAGATGAGAGCACGAGCTCAGGATCGAGACAGAGCTTTTCGTTTGTCAAAAAAGCCGGATCGATAATCTTGATCTGAAGGAGGATTGGAGGAGGTGTTCGAAAAAGCAAGTGTTGTAAGTTGCCACAAAGCTGCACACGTGCGAGAATGTGAGTAGCTCTAGTGTAACTGGTAACCAATGCTCGACTTTGCATGAGAGCAACAGCTTGCAGATGAGTGGAATAAGCTAAACGATTGCAGCCTAGCTGCAGGAAAAATTAAAGTCATGGTTGCCAATCCATATCTTGCAATGAGTTGTCAGAATTCCTACATACTTTCCGGCAGAAAAATCTATCTGACGATAACAATGTACAGGGCGCAAGAGCAATCAAAGTCGAGAGTTACTAACAAGCTTGTGCAAGCGAGGGATCAGGCATTTCCACTTCTGTGCATGGTTTGGCCTGCTCGCAAACCAAACTCAACCCTCCGACTGCGAAATCGATCATCGACCTCCTCTGTAGATGAGACAGAGACGGTGGGTCCGGATGCCATGGCGATGTGTTTCTGCCATCCATCAGTCGTCAACGACAGCTAGCATCGAACTGTTTCTGGTCAGTTCCGTTGGTTTCTCTGAGCTCAAAAACACGCGCCCGTGACCTGCGGCATCTGCTGGATAGTGCCAGCTCCAAACAAAACGTATTTGCTAGATCCCACCTCACCCTTCGAGTTCGACTCGAACGCAGGGCACATCCATCATCCTGCAATCCGAAAACGGTGAAACAGGTGACGCTTCGGCCGTCTCATGTGCTAACTACAGCACGAGTACGGAAGAGAGGACAGCATTCTCCAGAAGAACCTCGGACCTCGCCGTCGAACAAGAGCTATGTATGTAGAATAAGGCTGAATCGTCCTTCCCTCGATATTATCTGCCAAGTTATGCCGATTGTATTAAAGGAAACGAGCCCTTCTGATCATAAGATCTCCAAATATGCGATGACAACCTTGAATCTGGATATGATATTGCTTCCACAACAAAATGGCAAACAGAAACTTCTGCGCTTCTTATTGGCTCTTAGACTGGAAGTAATCTGCTTCTAATCTGCAGGACCCGGCGAAAAGTTGCACTTGAATCGATATTGAGTGTTCAGATGTATACCCATCAGCTACGAAAATTGTAAAGAATGGAGGCCTGAGATCTGACTTTCGATCCTGAAAACTAATAAGAGATCCGTGGCCAGTTCTTGCACCGGGATGCGAGCGAGCTTGCCGGCCCTGACTGAGCCTTGAGGTTCTGATTACTGCCGAAAGCAGCTTGGGAAGAATGTTGTGCCCAGGTTGCGGTGCCACAGAACGAGGTAGATCATGTCCAGATAATCTGACATTCTCGCTTCTGCTGCCGGCTTGGGCGTTGACCCCGCGTGCGAAGCCCTCGACCTGCGGACATTTTGGACACACCGGCCCATGTCAACCCACGGTGAGCTCGGAGACCAACTGCAGCCCCAGGCCATGTACAGGACCTTGTATAGTTGGTCCCCGCCAGAGGATGGACTATGGATCGCCCTACAGTGTGCAGCTGCAGAAATGTCAGTCGGTGGCGCTTGCTTCCGCTCATCGAACGTGGTGGCTGAATGCCATTCGATGTCATAATCTGGAGAAGCGCTCGTTCAGCGGTATGCGGCGTTTCCCGGGTCCATGTTCACTGGCATGACAACTGTGCTCGAGATCACAGCTTCGATCAGCTCACTATTCTTCTGCAGGGCCACATGAGAGTAGTAGTCCCAGGATGCAAATGATGCGAGATTCTTGGGTGAGGAGCTTGTGCGAGGCGGCCGGGCAGGGAGGGACGAGGAGAAGGTGAGCCCCTGCAACCATGATCAGCGGGGGACTCCAATGCGAGCTATATAAGCTCGGACGGGCTTGGCAGAAGTACAACTCGTTCAGTGCTTTCGGAGCACCGCTGGCCACTTTCATGCTCTGAGTTCTCGCTCGCTCGTCAGGAAGCAGCCAATCAATCTCGTGTTGATTGCTTTCGAGAGTACGTTCTTTCTAGCTCCAAAATTTGAACCATACCAGCACTCGCAGCCAGCATGCATGCATGGTTTGGAGAAGTCGCAGGGGCTCTGATGTAGAATTGTGAATCGTGTCAGTGACAGACTCTGCTTGCAAGTTAGACCAAGTGAATGAATCCATCTTCTCGCTCGTCGTCTTCTCAGCACATAGTTAAAGACAATCTGTTGTTGGAGATAGAGGAACTGAAACATCCAATTTATTTGCATTTGCTGTCTGCCGAGAATTGTGTAGAACTTCTTGTTCTGATGTTATCTTGTTAGACTTTCTCGTCGATAGACCTCCCTCATTTTAAGACTCCAATATTCTTAGCTCTCTCCGAGCTAAGAATGTAAAAACTAATTATCATACTCTCTCTCTCTCTCTCTCTATATATATATATATATATATATATAGATAGAGATATTATTTATATGAATTGGATATGCATATGAATCTTAGCTTGACGAGGTCATTCCTACTAGTTTGATGACCTCTCTAGACCACCATGGAACTGACAATGTTCAATTTATCAATCTCTCACAGACCTCATGGCGAGATTCCAAGACCTGGCGGTGCTCCAGTCTGTTGCATGTGCGTTGGCCTTCGTGCTCTTGGGCAGCAACCCGGCGATGGTTGAGGCATACCCTGCAGCTTGGGACGTTACCACTTGGACTGACTCGCACGTAACTTTTTACGGTGCAAGCGATGGCATTGAGACTATGGGTACGTGAGAGTTTGTAAATTGATGGTCCGTTCCCGTTCTGAAGAGTAGCTCTTTTTGCAATAGTTGCATGAGATTGCTGACCTTCAAGTGCTACACAACCAAGCTCCAAGGTGATGCAGCGAATCTTCAGTCTAGAAGGATTTGGAGACGGAAAACTCCTAAACTGAAATTCATGGTTATTTACAGGTGGTGCTTGCGGATACGGAAACCTTTGGTGGCGAGGATATGGGCTCGAGACCGCTGCTCTGAGTGACACTCTTCTCAACGACGGGCTCACATGCGGAGCTTGTTATCAAATCAAGTGCAACATCGCCAGTGGAGGGTACAGCACCAAATGGTGCTATCCCAGCAACCCCACCATTCAGGTAACCGCAACGAATCGGTGCCCTCCCAACTGGGACCGACCCACGAATGCTGGAGGATGGTGCAACCCTCCCAGGACTCACTTCGATCTGCCTCTGGTGATGTTCGAGCGCATGGCTCAAGCAGTCGCTGGAATCATCCCCGTCAAGTATCGCAGGTGCTGCACCCTTCAGTAGATATCGAACTGGTTCCAAATAAGTTTGCTCGACAAATCAAGTTTGAGTGGCCTCTATCTCTCCATGATGTCAAATATATATCAAGACCAGACACTCTGAAGAATGTGCGTGTCAAGTCTTCTAATGGATGTGATGGTAGGATTGAGATCATGATAACTGACTGCGGGCTGCTCTCCATTGACTTGCAATGCAGGGTGCCGTGCGTAAAGTCTGGCGGCATCAAGTTTTTTCTCGGTGGGAACCCATGGTTCAACCTTGTTCTCGTCTACAACGTAGCCGGAGGAGGAAATGTGAAGAACATGCAGATGAGAGGGGACAAGACTGTCTGGTACACCATGAAGAGGAACTGGGGTCAATTTTGGGAATGTCCCATCGGATTCAGAGGCCAGAAGCTTTCCTTCATCGTCACCTTGTCCAATGGACAGGTGCGAGTCATCAACAACCTCACTACAGAGCTGTGGTACTTTGGACAGACCTACGAGGCACTGACGAACTTCTGATCATGAGCTTCGAGGCTCATGATTTGCTGCTGATTCAACCTCTCATTTGATCGATCCTCGATCAAAAGTGTCGTGGATGGGCTGGATTCATCGTCCGACTGCTGCAGCTTGGAGCTACACGTTCATCCACGACTCAAGATTTCACGTCTATACGTTAGACACATAATACGATATCTGACAATAACTCTCGATTTAACTTCACATCGAGCGAGCTCCGAGCCTCCAGTTCGAGCTAGCTTCACGAGTCCACTCGAGATGCAAGGAGTAGACGGACTCCAAGAGTTTCGGCCTCACCTTTAATTAAGGGCATGGTCAACATCCGAGTAGTGATGATAGAATGTTTGACTTATTTATCCCGTCTGAACACCACTCTACCACTCTGCGGTGCAGCTCCGAATTCAACTTGCTCGACTGTGCAGCATGCGGAACAGACGAGGCGTGTGCATATATTCTGCGCCCGCTGTTAAATGGGACAATGAGGAGCGAACTCACAGTCATTTGCGCTGCAGTAGCTGGTCCAGTCCGGCGATGGCTTCCAGACAAGTTATCTAAAATGTCTGCAACGTAGTTAATCCGTAATGCATCTAAATTAGAGATTCACACGCATGTGTACAAATATGCCTGTTTAGATCACTCGAGCTAAGAAATTCTTTCAGGTTTCTGTCGATTGAAGGACAGATTCCTACAGTTTAATAAGTCCATTGCTGCAGCTTAGATCTCCGAGCTCAGTAGTAGCAGTCAGTCAGTTCTTCAGTCTCTGCTACGTGCTTCAGTCTTAGAGGGCGAGATCTGTCAACTCTCAAACATCCGCTGTAGTTGGTTTAGTTTCTGTATCATTGCAGATGGGGACCTCATACTGTCCGCTGTAGCCTTGGTGGCTTCAAAATTTGTTGCATGCCTCATGCTGCCCATTCCAATAACCAAAGTCACGTACTTTGAGAAAAGCTGCGGCCTCTATCACACCTACAATGCATGTTCTCACGTCTGTATCTACTGCTGCTAATGCCATGTTTCTAGTCCCTGATCTTTTCATTATGATAACGACCACGAGTTGATTGTTTCAGCATACGAACGATCTAGAAGGCTAATCAGCGACCATCAGCAGCAAATGTATCATGAGCGCCAAATCCATTGTGGACATGACAGCCAGTGATCTGAATTGGCGCCTATAAATACTAGAACAAGAGCGGTCCGAACATCAGCATTATTAAAATAACTGGACGATGTTGCCATGTGCAACAAACAAGACGCAGGAATGTGCAGAAACAAGACGGAGCAAGCTATTGCTTTCTTATCAACTTCAAAGCTTCAACTGACACCATTCACTGCCCAAGTCTTTGTTTGATTGTGCTGACGGGGAGTCACTAAATCGGGTGTTTCTTCCCAGAAGCCCTCTTTGCCGATCACTGGAGTGGGTATGTGCTATTCTTTGTGTTGGGACCCGGCCTTACCAAGAAAAGGCGAGGGTATTCACCGGAGTCTCTTTCACCTTTTAGCACTACTCTCCCTTTGACGTGCGAAGACGAGGCACTGCTGGGCTTTGAGGTTCTCGATCGATCCAGCCTAGAAAAGGAAGTAGTGATTAGTGCAGGCGTTATCCGAATGCTCCCAAGAATATCGGTCGGCTCAGCCAGCACTGTGACGCGGATCTGAATTGATACTTTATAAATTTTGTGGGTTTTCGGTTTTTACCCGAACCCGATCGGAGCCCTATACTACAGTGGAAACTACAAACCTTTCTGGAATTTTCACCACAATTTCGTGTTTCGACTTCCTGGGAGTCCATGGCGGACCGCATGATTTTGTTTTTATCGCAAAGCCAAAATGAATGAACCTGAATACAGAAAATGCATGTTGAGTTCGTGGGGCTTAGGTGACAGTCTATTCACCCGTTCAAACCTCACCAGATCATCAATCTTGCCACCAGAAACAAAATCTGCTGCTGTTTCTGCAAATCTGCACCACCTTGCCAGACACGCCGATTCCAAGGAATTTCCGAGGATAAGCGAGCAAATTGTCTCAAAATTAATTTCGGCAACTCCCAAATGTGAGCAGATTGTCTCAAGACTTTCCGTACCTGATCTCAGCATTAGCACATGTAATAACATATAGAATTCTTCTACTGCAGCCTCAAGATCAATTCTTTTTTAAAAAAAAACTCATTGCGCATGGAGTTTTACAGCAGACAACCACGCTACATCACATATTCTGTCACTCCTGACATCAGTTCAAAAACAAGCAAATAAATTGTTATGATTGTCTCACAAATTCACCCAGTTTAGAGGAAATTCAGCATAGATGACAGATTGGGCGCGACAAATCTAGCTAGCTGCAGTCACATATCTAAGATCTCATTTGGATTCTTTCTTCTTGGCCCTTTTTCTCACAAACTCTTCACCATCTCTTAACGTAAAACTGCAGTGGCTTTCTAACGACAGGCCAAAAATCTGACCTGTGTCGCTGGTTTCGTCTCTTCGAGCAACAAGTTGCCACAGCCTCGAGATCAATCCCTTCTGAATGAACTGCCTTGCTCAGAGCATTTGCAGAAGACAACCAAGCTGCCTTTGAAAAACAGTTGGAAAAAAAGCAAATAAAATGTTTTGATTTTCTCATGAATTATTCCGACCATCCACTTCAGAGTAGAATTCTTCATAGATTACAGATAGAGCGCGACAAAGCTATCTAACTGCAGTCACATATCTAAGAAGTCAGTCGGATTTTTACATCTTCACCTCTTGTTCAGAGACTCCGCAACATCCTCAACGTAAAACTATGGTGTCTCTCTAATCACATGCCAATCACTTTACCCACGAGGTTTGCACAGCCGTATTCTTCTCTTCAAGAGCCTGCCGCTCGAAGAGTGCACATCGAGTGTTACGAAGGCCAGGTGAGGAAAGCCCACGCCAGCACATCTTGAACACTGCATGTGCTCGGAACATGCAGTGTTCAAAATTGCACTCGTGTTTAAACAAGGCTACCAACTGTAAAAATATAACATAATCTGTTCTTTATTCCTGATTCTACAGTTGTTGTACTCTCATCACTCGGAACAATCATTTTGGGAGATGTATCAAAATTCAAGGTTGACAACCCAACGTTTAAGTGAAGGGATTTCATCAGGGTGAGACTTGCCACAAGTCGCACTTAAAACTTTGTCCTCAAAATGTAATTTTCATAGATTAGCCAAAGACACATCTTCCTCAGAAACATAACTGCGCGATTGACATGATTGCAGAGATTATTTCCATGAAAGACTTTTACAAGTGAAAACTCCAAGGAAGATTTGCAGACGTTCATATTGCATGAGGGTCTAAACATATTCTTGTCAATTGCATAATGACATTCTTCCCTCCTTCAAATCCTAGACTGTCAAAATTCCGCTACTGAGACCTTTATGCATGCACTCCTCGCACACCCATGCATGCCCATCTAATTCTAGACTCACGTATTTCTACTGATACAACTTGAAGTTTGCCGAATAGCTATCTCGAAGCTGGGGCGCAAGAGTTTGCTTAATCCTCAGCCATGCTTCTTTGAGCTCCATGCTTTCCCCACCTTTTACAACTGCCCTACGATCACTATCTCTAATGCCAACTAGTTTAACAATATTGGATCTTAAATCTGCCAAGTCCGGAATCGCTTGGCCCAGCCCGAGAGTCACATCCAGTCCAGCCTTTGCAGCATAATACAAGACTGAGTATGAAATTTCAATAGTTTTTCCCATCCAGGAGCTATTGTATCTATCCAAGCGTATCTTCAAACCCTCTTCATCTTTGACCTGAACTCACACATCAAGTGTAACCGAACAGTTGTCCCGTCATTCAGAGCTGCATTCATCCGATGAAAAACGCCAACATCGTCCGTAACGTAAGGTGGCTTGGGAAGCGAAGGTTGCTGAAGCGAATGAGATTACTTAACAATCCTGTCCACTTTACGTTATTTGTATTTGTACTACATCGTCAAATAAATCCTCCTTATCCACTTACAAATGTATTATAACTGTACGGCCTTGAGTCACATGGAGGTCGGAGATGCACGGCGACGAAAAAGAATTCAGGAACGTGTCTGCCCTTCAGCGTTGACTGCAGTTCTTGCTGCAGAGAGAGTATCTTCATCTCCAATCTCCGCAAAATGCTCTGCACTGATCTCAACCTTTCATCAACACCATCAACCTTATTTTCTACCCGATCAATCTTATTTTCTACCCGATCGATGCTTTCCAAAACAAGTCGGAAGATACATTCTTCAACACTTGAGCATTCCTGAATAAAGCACCTGGATGAAGGTCAATTGGAGTATTTCACATCTGGAAAATTTGAATTGGTAATCATGTTCTCAGTTTAAGGGTAAGAATCAATCAAATCTTTGTTCACTTCGTTTAAACCTTGCTGCAATGACTCCAGTTGTTGGATAAGGCTTTGCTGTCATGACTCCAATTGTTGCATTCGCTTCTGTCGGATATCATTTTCAACCGCTTCCACATCAGTCTCCCACAACACATCCCTAGCTTTTTTGAATATTGCTGGGATGTGCCCTTCAATCGAGGGCCAAGAGTGCTCATAGTTGAACAACTCCTCCTCCTTCACCAAGTGCAACCTATCCGGCGGAATACCCTCAAGTTTGTCATTGATGCGATGAATGAAGTTTGATTTGAGCTCCTTGATCAAAATGGCTCCTTTGAAATGACTCGGAATCAGCTTCTCCACGCAACGCGTTTGAATCACACCGAGCACTAACGTCATCCCAGGACAGCCTTTGGATGATGCGCAGAATGATATCAACTCCTCAACGATATGCTTCATCACATATTGCAGAGCCTCCGACCTTGATTTATGCTTCGAGCGTAACATCAGAACATCCACGTATTTGTGGGACGTTCCTTGCTCTATGTAGATCTCGTACCCATCAAACAAAAGTCGCAGATAATGTCGAGAGCAGGTCACATACTCCTTGAAAACATGCTTATCGGACATCAACTTGCGTCTCATGAACATCTACAATGATACAAAATTTGGTAAATATTGAGTTGCGCATTCCAAAAATTGAATTCATCTTATGAAATGAGAACACTTCATTCATCGACCTCAAGTTACAATCAATCTTGCAATAAATATGAAATCACCTGGAAGCATGGAAAAAAAGCAGCGGTGAGTGATATTGTTCTTCCATCTTGGCATTGAATCCGGTAGCCGACAAATTGTGAAGTCTCAACCCTTGTTTCCCAAGCCAATTCCTGAGGCTTCTATTCTTCAGTGCTTGCATGCTCAGGTATGAACGAGGGAATGAAATACTGAGAAGGATCTTCCACCTTAAAACACAAATCTTAATTGATGAGGATGTCTTTGAGCACTTGTCTCTCCACACCATGTGGTTGATTTTGCCGAAACTCTTCTATCAACCAATTAAAGTCACTCTCACCCACAAATCCGTCCTTGCTTACATATGAGTGATTTGACATCTTTTGGTGAGAAGATCCGGAGTCTTGAGCTTGAAAGTTTTGACCTAGAGCTACCAACTCACCCAATAATGTATTGGTGAGCCAGTTTGGATCTACTATGATGTAATCAAGGTGGGAGATAGAAACAATGGATCCAACGTCATTCAAATAGGATATGATTGATTTCATTATCCTTCAATCATCAAAAGCAAAAGCAGAAGAGGATGGAATAAATTTAGTCAAGCTGGGCTCACAAAAGACATGAAATTTTAGAGATGACCAAATAGGGCTACTTGTGTTCTCTTTGGTGTTTGTAACCAAGAGGGACGAGAGCTCAGAACACAATTGTAGAACTCCTGGGGATTTATCACTCAACAACTTTTTGGAGGGCCAAAGAGACCAACTTCTGATCTCCTTGATGTCAGTGCTCAAGAGTAAAGAAAGTCGAGAACACAATTGTGGAACTCGAGGAGATTTGTCAATCAACAACATGTCAAAAATCTCAAAATTTTTATTTTTGAGAGGAATAACTTGCTTCTTCTTCCCAGCATTCACATGAAAACACTCTGGATGGAGATCAACAAATTTTGCAAATCTTTGGGTGAGCTCCTTCATTATGGAGTGAGCCCAAGTCAAAGAGCTGCATGTAACTTTATCCTTGTGTGAAATCACAACAAGAACTTGTGGATGATTATGTCCTGCGACCCTAAAGCTGGATGTGATAAAACTCAACCATTCTTCCAACTCTATTTGGAAAAAAAGGTCTGGTTTCTTAGAAGATTTCAACTGACAGAAGGTACTATACACAACCATGACCAGCTACTCAACCATGACCTGATGCATGGCTTACTAGAACTGAAATGCTGGGATGTGGATGATTCTTTCTGCATGTTCAACAGGTTCAAGGATGGCAGCGATGCAGATCCTCCAATACTTTCTAGTAGAAAGATAAAGACGGGAAGAATCGAGACAAGGGAGTAGACTTACGGGAAAAAAATCTCGGATAACATATCACAATTTTTCCAATGCCCTTCATTTCTGGATTAGCAGATGCGAGCTTTATTATCATCACATCTCGAGGCAATAGTAGATGACCTGAATCAAACAATGCTGATCGAGTCTCAGCAACTCCCGTGAGTATGTACATCACTCTCTTCGTCAAGATAGAAAGAATATCTCCCGTCTAAGCGAAACAGTATACGTTTCAGCACACTACAGAAGATTTTATGTCAGCTTCGAGAGTCTTGATTTCATAAGTATCCACTTCGTCTCGCATATGATGCATGAAGCCTTCATAGATCCATTCTTTACGCTCCACTTCGCCCCTACAATTCGGAGCGAGTATGGATTTCACTGAGTATGGATTCCACTGGAATGGAGCACGGGCGGGTCCCTTCAAACGAACACGTTCGGGCGGACGAACTGTTGAGTAAGTCGATAGAGTTGAGCGAGAGGTGTTGGTATGGATACGAAGCAACGGAGAGATCTTGACTTTCCCGCTCCTCTCTCTAGTTTTCAATTCGAACCCTCGCTCTTCTTGCTTTCGTCTTTCTTCGCTTAGTTTCAGGAGCCAATGTGGGTCTCGCTCAATTTGATTGAGGTTGAGTTGAAGGAATTGGAATGCTGCTTTCTAGACTATATTGGAAGATGTATAATCTCGAGTGATGTACCGAATCCAGGATGATATCCTTCTCCCTTCACTTCATCCCATTGACCATGAGCTCTTGTCTCTGTGCTCGATACAGTATTTACAGCTGGTGATCATCAACATTTATACAAGGATACCTTGATCCACTTCATGACCGTGCTTCTGATGCATTATTAATATTTTGCGTGATGAATTTGTACACAATATCGGAGTCAAGGAATATATTTGACTCTCTTTGATATTCAGCAGACGATGTTCTCCATTCTTTGAAATGATATTCTCCACGTTCAAGTCAAATTGCTGCAAGAGTCTCTGGAACTGAACGTACACACGCAATCCAACTGCGAAAGCATGCGTGCTACGAACTACCACATTTATACACGTCACAGTTCTGAGCGTGCTGGCGCTTACCATTGTGTTGAGATCACGGCCAGCACAAGCATGTTATCAGGGTCTTTCACGGAGATACCTCGACTAGTCAACCATGATCTGATACATGGCTTACTAGAACTGAAATGCTGGGATGTGGATGATTCTTTCTGCATGTTCAACAGGTTCAAGGAGGGCAGCGATGCAGACTTCCTTCGAATACCGAAAGATAAAGATGGGAAGAATCGAGACAAGGGAGGAGACTTCTCCCAGAAGCCCTCTTTGCCGATCACTGGAGTAGGTATGTGCTATTCTATGGTCTGATTTTTCTTATCTTCGAATCATTGAATGAATGGAAGGTCGGTGTGGATCAAGATAATCGAACAGGCAAAATTATAGCCGATCTCACATATTTTCGAATATACAACCATAGTGCATGGATACTTTATTTTTTGCACTATCAAGCAAGTCCTTCGCAGAAATTCGGCCTGAGTGGAGTGCTGAAATGATGATCTATAAGACATACTGCATTATATAGTAATATGAGTAATTTTGTTAGGGTATCCAGACAAATAAGGTTTTGCTCACATGGAATTTAAATCATTCGGAGCTGTTGATACAATATTACACATTTTCGAAAAAGTACCAAGAGATTATGAAGAGATGGTCAAGAGTGTCCATCTCTAGATTGATATGTATAGCCAGTGCACACAGAGCACTGGCTAGTGGCATATATATAGACAGTCGCGGCGAAGTAGTTGTTTGTGTAGTTTCATGTTGAACTTTGATGGTTTTCACACGTTACATGATGCTTGATAAAGTTCGGGGCTAGTCATGGGTTAACATTTCGTTTCTTCTCGTAATAATAATGTCATTGTCTTCTTTAACTACTTGGCAGCCGTTTGTCTCTCCAGGACCTTCATGAGTTGAAGCCTGCTTCTGATTTCCGTTCTTCCAAACTAGATCGTAAAAGTTCTGAACGATCTTGGGTTGAGCTTGATTTCTGTCACCTGCTCAGTTTCTGCTGTAACGTCACCTTAAAGTCCTAGAAAAGCAGACGAGCCCTCTCCACAAAATCTGTCGTGGGGACGAATGGCAGGATCACTCTTGATAGCTACATTTGGTTGTGACACACTGCTCATCAGATCTACCGTTCTCGTCATATCTAGCGTTCAGTGTACAGCAGTAACTTTCAGTTGCAGCTTGAAACTCGTGCTGTGATTGATATGCAAACCCACTCGCAGCTCAAACATCAAGTGATTGATTGATACTCGGTCCATCTTTGGCCGAGATCATTGTACCGGTATCAGAAAGAAACGCTGAAGTGGGCGAAATCAAGTGAAGGCTCAAGTTTATTGACTTACAAGTCTATATACAGTCTCTAATTTTTTATACAAGAGGATCACAGATCACGTTTATTGGTGCAGTAATTGATCAATTGGCCCTGCATGTAAAATTAGTTCGACCTCCGTATTGCTCGAAAATTCATCGAAGCTTTCTCACAATAAGAAGCTGGAATTCGTACGGAACTAAGGATAGTCCGAGTATCAAGTGCATGCATCGATCGATTGATCCAAGGCATGCATTCGAACTCGATACTCGTAACGAAGATGGAAGAGGTCGAGCGCAATCTAGCTTCTGGGTCCTGCTACTTGGAACTCGGAGTCTACGAGCTAATCTAACGCCTCTGAAACCGGACCAGCTCACAGCAGTACGACAGAGAAGTTCACTTCAAGATCCTATCGTTCTATGTCGTGCTAGTGGATTCGAGCTAACTTCCGGCAGCCTGCCTGCCATGTCCTCATGGAGCTTGTCTCAACAAAGACTAGTTTTCGGTATTTGGTCTCATCGGCCGGATCTGCTGAGCATTGTTCATGTGACGTACTGAATAATGAAGTACCTAAGGCTCGCAAATGCTGCAAGTCTTTATTTGGAGCAAATAGGATCAATGGTCAATGAATGGAATCAATGGTGGCCGATTATCTGTACATTCCACGAATGATCTTGAAGGTGATGAGTCTGGTGGTCACGAGGTCCGAGATCAGAAGTTCGTGTCCGCTTCGTAGGTTTGCTTGAAGTACCATACTGTTGGAGTGAGATTTCTGATAACGCGGACCTGACCATTTCCCAGGGTCACGATGAATGAAAGACTCTGGCCCGTGTAGTTGATCGAGCTTTCCCAGTTTTGGCCCCAGTTTCTCTTCATCGTGATCCATCCGGTCTTCGTTCCTCTCATCTGCATCTTCATCACATCACCCCATCCGCCTACGTTGTACACCAGCACGAGGTTGAAATGCGCATTCCCGCCTAGATAAAATCTGATTCCGCCTGTCTTGATGCACCTCGTTCTGTGAACAATGCAATCACAGTTACATGACAGACCTTCAATTAGGCGATCTTCTGAGACTCACTCAATTACACAGTTCTAGTCCAGCTGCTCTTTGAACGTTGTATCTATCCTTATATCTCATCAGAGAGCACATCCATACCCAAGGATACTGGACTGTATTCAACAGCTCACTGCAGATGGTTAGATGTGAGTCATATCAAGGACTAAATGCCGTGTGGGATCAAGTTTATCATGAACTTGGCCAATTTCTGGTACAAGCTGTTGGACATGTCGGTGGGGCCGGGTTCAGTTACCTCCTGTATGAAATGGGAATGATGCCTGCTTGAGTCTGAGCGAGACGTCTGAACATGTTGAGGGATAAGTCGAAGTGAGTTCTCGGTGGGTTGCACCATCCTCCGTTGTCGGTCGGTCGGTCGAAATTCGGAGGACATTGATTGGTAGCCGTAATTTTGATGGAAGGGTTGCTCTGAATGCACCATTTTCCTGATTCACCCCCGGTTATATTACACTTTATCTCGAAGCAAGCCCCGCAAGTCAGGCCATTATTCAAGAGAGTATCGCTCAAAGCAGCCGTCGCCAGTCCATATCCGCGCCACCACAGGTTTCCATACCCGCATGCGCCACCTGCATACAACCATTTCATCCGCATGTTATGGACATGAATCACGTCACCCTTCGGCACGTAGGAGTCGAGTCGACCTGGCTGGCATTCATTGCGTTACAGATGATCATGCTTATTCACCCCATTCCAGCTGAAATGAGCAGAAGGTGATCACTTGGTCTGTTTCAGAAAGCGGCGTACCCATGGTGGCCGCACCCGAATCGTCCCCATAGAATGTTGCGTGCGAGGGAGTCCAGGTTGTGACGTCCCACGCATTCACAGCTTTTGCCACTTGCACAAGGCTTCCGAGGACCACTAATGTTATAGTGGCCACCTGGAGCACCGCCATTTGGTTGACTTTCACCATCGCTCTGCATCCACAAGTTCTCGTTAATTTTGCTACAAATGAAGAAAAGCTCGCCACAAGATGCACATTACTAGGGTCTATGCTGTCGATGCTGCTCAGGATCGCTGGATTCATTCCGTGACACTCTTTGACTGTGTATCCTCGCCATCATCGTTCTTTCAAGAGCATAAATTTCAGATATTCATGAATTGGACTTGAACACATGTGTGAGGAGGGGAGGACTCTGATGCAGGAGGACGTCTGAAACTGAAGTCGACTGGAACCATGGTGAACTACGAAGAGAAGACTGATCATGGACATCGATAGCACTATACAGACAGTAGCCAGCTCACTGATTTCGCTCAAAGTCCACAAGTATCTTTCCAATTTTCTCTGCTCGAACAATGGAACCTCAAGTACTAGTGATGGAGTTCGTACTCTCGAGAGCAAACTTCCACAGCCTGGCAACTTTGGAGATGCTCGAAAAGCTCGGTAAAAGAACAATGGCCAGGTGCTCCAAGGTCGTCCCGGAGCTAAGCACACAGATGAGCAATATGGGGGATTCAGGTTGACATCTCGGGTTTGGATAACACACTGAAGTGTGCGTTGCTGTGAGCATCACCGCAGCATGTTATATAGCGAGCTAGACATGGGCTACGTAGATACCACCTTGCTCCTGATACAATTCATAAACTAGTAGTCCCCTCAAGTCCCTGTACAGTACCTATCGTTTTAATTGTGACGTTTGTCGCTCGACTCTGAGATACAATACAGCTAGATGGTTCGTACGATCACAGTCCTTAATCCTGAACCTCCGCCGTCGCCCAAGGACAATGCCAATACCAATCACCGATGAGGAAAACTCCCGTTGCTCCCGTTGCAGCCGAGTATCACTGTCGACCTTTGTCAACCATGCATGCGCTTACTTACACTGCACCCAGCCAGCCCTGATAGTTTAATAACCCTCCAGCTTTAAATCCTCAATCACGATGTTATCAATATCGTGTATATGAACGGAAATACATGGAAGTCAATATGTGCGTGACCGACAGCCATGGAATGTGAGTACATGCTGCGGAAGATACCTTTCTTGTTTAACAAAAAGCTGAGATTTCTTACTGGTTTCATGCATTCACCAAGTCCAATTCCAGGTCTCATCTGTAGAAGCTTCTTGCACTTGAAATGTGTTCAACGTGACTATATTCAGGATCATGAGTCCATACTGAAGCCACAGAGGATTTTGTAGATGTCAGTGTATATTCTATCACATTCTATCACATACATGTACTTGAAGTGTCTACGGATTTAGATATTGACTAACAACCTGGACAGCAAGCAGTGAGCATTCGCTGATCTCATTTAGAACGAGGTCCAAAGATCATGTATCGGTTAGCTTTGAAGCATCTGAAGATCTAAAGTAGCATCATGTAGCTGCCATAATGCACCTCGTGGCCTTTTCCAAGATCTCCCTTCGGAATACGTTATCGGTATCTATACTGATACCTTTGGCTGTATATACATCAGAATTGTAATTCTGTTACCGGTTGACTTAACCTTCAGATCCGAAGGGTTTTCACATATTGACACAAGTGCGAGTCAGAACCAATCCCATGGCCGTGACCCTTTCCTTCTCGGTGGACTTCACATTTCATCATCATCATCATCATCTTCACACGCACAAAACCTGAACCAGGATGGTATCCCTCGAAAACATTCAAGATGGTACTCGTTACCTTTTATTTATAATAATGAATGCCGTCAAGAGTTGCAAACATACTCCAGGTTAATTCCTGTGTAGGCTTTAATCGTGCAAATATATGGTACTAATAACGTCAGGACGCTCGTAGCAGAGATAGAATTTGGTTTCCGGCCTGTACTGGCGCAGCAATCGAGGTACATGAGATTTCCAACACTAATGGTCAGATTCCAGGATTACAACATTTGGTCGTTTTGTGGTAACCCACTTTTTGTTTTTTGTCGGAACTAAAACATTTTTGAATAGTAAGTACCGCGGCAGCAGCTGTAAATAGTAATCGGTACGCGAAACCAGAGGATCGAGGACAGTCAAGGGGTTTTGGGCTTAGGCCACAGTGGGACGCTTGGGACGGAACGGGCGGTTCATGCTGCAGGATCCGCTTCGAGCACCTTCGGCGGTTGATCACTCATAACTTTCTCAATTCGTAACGCCTTGAGTTGCTTTGGGTCTTGTTGCAAAGAGCTCGCGACGCTTGTTCTAACGAGACCAAGAACTTGTGAAACGGATGAGACGTCACTGAGTTATGAGTGTCGGAAGTTACTGATGGGGGGGCCTTCGGCGGTAGAGCGACTTTGGCGGTACGCCTTCGGCGGAAGAACCGCCGGAAGATGCGCCTTGGGCGGTAGACGCCTTCGGTCAACGCCTTCGGGTCAACGCCTTCGGCGATACGGGAGAGTGCATTTGGCGGAAGAGTGAAACCCTCATAACTTTCTCAATGCGCAACGCCTCGACTTGGTTAGGGTCTCGTTGGAAAGAGCTCGACGCGCTGATTCTAACGAGCCCAAGAACGCCACGAACGGAGGAGAATTCCGGGAGTTATGAAGGTCGCAAGATACTCAGCTTTCCGCCTGCGCACCGGCGAAGAAAGTTTTGTCCTATGCGCGGACGAAGGAAGTTCGCCTGTGCACAGGCGCTTCGGCGTCGGCGGGAAATCCGCCTTGGGCCCTAGAAATGCGCCTTGTGAGGTAGAAAGTGTACGGCGCCTTCTGCGCCAGGTCATCGCCGCGGACGGCCAGGTCAGTGCCGCGGACGGACAAGTCAGCGCAGCGGACGGACAGCTCAGCGCCGCAGACAGCCAGGTCATCGCCGCGGACGGACTGTGGATAGGCGAACGCCTTCGGCGGAAGAGTAAAACCGACATTACTTTCTCAATTCTTAGCGGTTTGACTTGATTCGGGTCTCGTTGGAAAGAACTCGACGAGCTGGTTCCAACGAGACCAAGATCTCTTGAAACGGATGAGGCATCACCGAGTTAGAAGCGGCGGAAGTTTCTGATATGGAGGGCCTTCGGTGCTAACATTTAGAGGGGCCTTCGGCGTTAACACTTAGAGAGGCGGCTTACGCCGCGGACGGACGCGGACGCCTGTGCACAGGCGGACGGCCTGTGCACAGGCGGGTTGCAAGTAGGCGGCCTGTGCACAGGCAGGCCTTCGGCGGAAGGGTAAAATTGACATAGTGTTTTCAATTCTTAATGGTTTGCGGTGGTTAGGGTCTCGTTGGAAAGAGCTCGCGACGCTCGTTCCAACGAGCCCAAGAACGCCTGGGACGGATGGGAATTTAGGGAGTTAGGACTATCGGAAGATACGTAGACGTTCTCCTTCGGCCCTAGATGTTCGCCTTCGGGGTTACGCTTCCGGGAATTCCGCCTTCGGAGGTAGGGAGATCGACTTTTGTCCGATGCGCGGACGGACGCCTTCGACGGTTGCAGGCCTTCGGCGGAAGAGTAAAACAGTGATAACTTTCTCAATTCTTATCCGTTTGACTTGGTTAGGGGCTCGTTGGAAAGAGCACAACACGCTCGTTCCAACGAGCCCAAGAACGTTGCAAACGAAGCAGGGATCCGTGAGTTATGGGCGTCGGGGTGACTGTTAGAGATTGACAAGGTGTGGAAGTGCGTCTTTGGCGGTTGGACGCATTCGGCGGTGCGCGGAAGGAGATGTGTGGTAACACACTTTTTGTTTTTTTTGCAGAATTTAAACAATTTTAGAAAACTAGTACCAAAGCAGTGTTTGTAGCTAGAGAAGGGTACGCAAAATAGAGTGGATTGAGGAGATCGTCACGAGGGCACAAAGAATCACGTAGTCGGATGTACCAACGCCAACGTCTTCGGCGCCTTCGGCAAAAGCTCCTTTTTGAGGTGTCTCTACTCACGCGCCTCTAGCGTATAAGGAAGCTACGCTTCCGGCGCAGACACCTCAGGAGGAGGTTTTGCTAAAGACGTCAGGAGAAGGGCCCGGACCTCTAAAGGCGTCCGACCATGAGTGCGCCTTCGGCGAAGCGTCGCTAGCGCGGAAAGGGAAAACCTTCATAACAATCGGGATACACGGTAGATCCAGTTGGTTGAAGTTGCATTAGAAAGAGCTCGGGACGCTCGTTCTAACGAGTCCAAGAGCGCCGGAGATGGATCAGGAATGGAGAAGTTATGAGCGTCGGAAAACTCGTAGCCGGACATGCGCCGTTCGCGCTAGGGTTCACAGCCGGAAAGGATTCCCGTACGCCCTCGGCGATGCGCCTTCGGCGGAGGGCGGGTTAGGAAAAGACAACAGGGCCGACGTATACCCTGCAGCGGACTCGAGTCCGGAAGGTGGCGGCGGCGGGAGAATTCAACGTTTAAGCATGCGAATGCGCGCAATGCGGAGACGTGAATTCGCGCATGCAAAGGGCGAACCGTTAAGCCGTATAGCCGGCTGCGTACGTTGCAACCAGTAAGAACGTTGGACGTTCTTGAAATCGGAGAAGAAAAGACTGCGCTCCAGTCTCATTCTCTCATTCTTGACTTTGCAATTTCCAGTTCCAAGATTACGCGCAAGGGCGGAGCGACCTGCAGTGAGAGTAGAGAGTGCGGAGACGAGTTGCACAAGGATCTTGGCGGACCTTGAAAGAATTGGGAGTAGCGATCTTGAACGAGCGCAGAGAGAGTGAGCAGTCAGTGCTTGAGTGGCCGACGCGCAGTGGCGATTGTGAGAGAGTGAGCGAAAGGGAGAACGTTTGTGTGTGCAGACAACGCAATGTCGAAGGTTCCCCAACTGCGAGTGTCTCCACTCAGGGTGCCGCAGATCGGTCTACGCGCATTTCAAGATGTGCTGACGAGGCTGAAGCTCGATTTTCTCCTCTGGGGGTGGAATTGGACGTGTCCGGAGATGGTGCGCGAGTATCTGCAAGAGAGACACAAGCCTTCTCGCGGATTTCGCCCACACCCAGAGAGATGGGAAATTTGCAATTGGGCGCAGGTGTTGGGCAGGTGTGCCGGCGAGGAAGGGGATCTCCTCTTCGAGGCCGACAGCGTGAAAGTGTCCCAGGAGGAAGAAGTCTCTTACAATGAGCTCTTCAAAGTGGCTAGACATCCCAAGAACGGTTTCCGGACTCGGGATTACAAGGATCGATTGCGGAGAAATGTCGCGACAGCATTGCTGCAGATATTGCAGCCGACCAAGACCGCTTACATGCATGGTTGGCAGGTAGAGTTCGTGGAGCTAGTGTTGTCAGGAGCTCCGGTGCATTGGGCACGGCTCCTGTGGAAGGTGACGCGCCAACATGCGCAAGAAGAGAGGGGAGGAACGCTCAATCATCTATCGCCTTACTTAATCGTGTTTTACCGGGCGATGGGATGTTTGACGAATGCTGAGAAAACTCGGTTTCCGCAGCTGAGCCGGTCTTATCCAGGTAGATATTCGAGGGAGGCCGAAGTAGACACGGATCCGGACGAGGAACCTGCCAGTACGCCTCCGGCTCCGGCTCCAGCCAGAGCAGCAGAAGAACGTCGAAGTGAGCGCATTCCGCGCAAGCGGAAGTGGGATGAGGGACCTGAGGACAGGCAGCCGGAAGTACCATCTGCGCCGACTC